GGTGCTAACACTAAGATCCGACCCCCACCCCTGTGAACTCTGACTCTCCCACGGGGTGACTTGAGAATGGAGTGGTACCAGTTATTTCAAGTGACTCCACATTCCCATCTCTAGATACGCATAGGAGTGGTACCAGTTATTTCAAGTGACTCCACATTCCCATCTCTAGATACGCACAGAAAAGGCCTGAATGGGGAGACAGGGAAGAGAGCATGTAGCAGTGGTAGCTCTCAGAAGTGAACGAGGCGACTTCCGGGGAAAGCCTTTATAATCTGCATGGCTTCACAGAAAGAGGGTCTCTCTCATTCACGTTGTTTACGTAAAAACCCAACCCAAGCCCACTGCCAGCAAGTCCATTCTGTGCTGTAATGGCCTTACAGGACTGAGTAAAATCAACCCTTTGGGGTTCTCCAGGCTGTAAATCTTCCCAGGGGCAGAAAGCCTCAAATCTCTGCCGTGGAGTGCCTGGTACTTTCCACCTGCCGGCCTTTCTGACCGAGGATCACCCTGTATGCCACCATGGCTCCCTTGCTGATGGAAACAGCTCCATAGTTATTCTTGCACTATTCATCTAAGGTCACAAAAGGCAGGGGGAGCAAGGAGCAGTCCCACTGGGGCATTTCCTTTGTGAGTAGTGCTCTCCCTCTCTTGACCACAGAGGGGAGTAGTGGGACTACGTAAAGGTACTCAATGTTTTCTCACACCAGAAGCAGACTAAATTTGGCAAGGTTTCCTCTGTCATTTTACCGGATGTCCTAAATTGTTTAGTAAATAAATGTCGATAGGGTAAATGGAAGGGAAATCCGAGCTCCTTATAGTGCTTTTTATACGTTTCCTTTCTTATAAAATAATAAAAGGTTAATTTTTAATGTGTATCACAGTATACTTTTATCCTGTAATACCACAATGGAGAATTGCATGAACAAATTTTGCTTGGGCAAGAGATAGGACTCTCAAGTACATTATATTTGATCATATCCAGGCCTGAGATGACCCTATATCATTATTGAGTACTGTCATAATTTATGACTTTTGTTAAAAGCATAGTTTCTTGGAAGGAACCCTGGTGGCATAATGGGTTGTGT